CTCAATTCTTAATTAATGTGACCACACTATTCTATCTTAGTTTTACATGTTAACCTCGCAGATTTATGTATCTGAAAACGTATGTGTAATATTCAGAAGTATTCGAATTATAGTATGAACTAGTAGTCCCAGCAATAACGCAATTTTATCAAGAAGTATTAGATGAGCACGAACGAATGTACTGTATTTGGAATTCAAAATCAAAACAGTCATCAATATAAAGGAATCATTGGTTCATACAAACACCACATCCTCCACAGCTCAAATTGGAGTGTGTCTGTAATCGATTGTACGTCTTCTTAAGTTCATCTTGTATCTATCCGGCAGTGTATTGAATGTAGACTCTGTATTATCTAGAATGCACTCAAATGTATTAGAATTAACAACCGAAATTGGAACAGACTCACCTGATTCCTGGAATCTTATACAATCATCATGTCGGTTGTGCAGTGAAACCTCTGATATTTAAAATTTGCATCATAGACTTTCCAACACTATACTCCTCCACGAAATAATGTTGGGTCCTTACGTCGCAATGTTTTAACCAATATGACGTTCCCGATTTGCATTATCTTCTCAAATCTCATGCTTCGATTACTGTATGTGAGTATTTGAGGATACACACTGATATATAATTTGAGGTATTCCATCATGTGACTTTGACTTGCATAAAAATTATGATACATATTCTTTTTGTTATTCATATTAGAATACACAGATAGATATGCATTGATATATGTAATTAACACATGTGATTCATCTAGGCTTCATTCACCTGCTAAACAATCCAATGGAAAACATGCATCTGCCTCATACTCATTAGGATAATCTGGGACTTGATTTGGGTTATCTGCCTGTGCAAACTCCATTTCTCGGCAAACTGGTTCTTTGATTGCTTCGAGAAAACTGGCGATTCCCTCTGATTCAGCATACCACTGACTAGGGATTCTACTCGACACACATTGGTTTGGAGAATATCCAGCATCTGATACAATAGCATCAGAAATGTGACTAGAACTCGACTCATTCGGAACGTATTTGTCACATTCATTAGGGATATCTCTAGAGATAAATCCATTGTGGCGAGGAATAGCGTTTGATATGACATCAGAATTTGATTTTTCTGAAATATTACCCTCAAATTTATTAAGAGTTTCAGTAGAGAATAATAGATCATTAGAAAAATCAGCATCTACCAAAACTGAATCCGGTTTTTGATCATGATTTGACTCATCCAACATATCGTTCTCAGAGTTGTAAGAAGTGTCATCAGAAATATGTGAATCATTATGACACCATATCTGGTGCAATGGAATAAGAAATTCGATAACAAGTTAGTTGATTAGGAATTTTTTGTCTCACAATGATTCTGGGTTTCATTCAACTGTGAACTGTTATGTGGCGTTATACCGCTCCTAGAAGTATTGGTTAAAGATAAGTGATCATAAGAAACATCCACCCTTAGCATTACTTGCAGCGAAATGAACTGTGGTATTACAAACTGACTGAATGTGCCCAGTTTTACCACATTTAAAGCATTTAGAATTACGTGGGTGAAACTTGCCATAAAACAAGCTTTTTTCAAACTTGTGTTCATCTTCGCGAACCTTTTCACAATTTACAGAATCGTTATCTGAATAACCTTCATTACGTATTGGACTGAGACGACGTAGTAAAGTGGTGGGATTCCTGATGTTCTGACGAATCCTTTCACTGAATTTTACTCCTTTACCGCATTTGAAATTTGTATGCTTTACATGGTCCAACAGTAGTTGCTTGAGAGTTGCATAAAGGAGTAAAATCGGTTTGTCCTCCGATAAATGTAAGGAAATGGGCCACAATATTAAAATCCTCATCATCTTACTTGGTCATAGCCCAGATCTCAAACCTCTCCATGTTATCATCAAAAGCATTAAAATCTGAATGTATGTCCAACCGTTCCATCACAGGCTCCATCGCGACGCCAATGTAATATTCAGAAGTATTCGGATTATAGTATGAACTTGTAGTCCCAGCAATAACGCAATTTAATCAAAAAGTATTAGATGAGCGCGAACGAATGTACTGTAATTGGAATTCAAAATCAATACAAAGGAATCATTGATTCATATAAACACCACAGTAAGCTTGGATCAATTGGGTTTTATGCGACTACTCTTCGGTTCCCACGTTTTTGACACTCAAAAATGCTCTGAAACAGTAACTATATTTCCCCTATTTCTAAAATCATTTCAATTTCTGCCATTTTTGCTAACCGTTGGTAGCTAGAAACAATTGACATAATTATACTGTAAAGATCTTCGTACTGGTACCCCTTTTTGTTATTACCTCGTCACAGTGTACATGAATGTTGATTACATGTACTTACCTGCCTAATAAGACAAACAAATACTAACGACAATGAAATCCCAGAGACATCACATTTCTACATAAATTGTTTTAGTCACTTATTCCTATGTACCATTTCCTTAAATGTTTGAAAATTCATTCTATTTAATTTTTCTTAGGGAACGTAAACGGGAAAAGGAACGTGAAGAATTATGGAAGAAACTTGAGCAGCTAAGGATGTCTGGTTCGGGTGACACACCTGGTCCACCAAATCTTGATTCCAAAACTAGCTCCGCAATTACCAACAATGCTTTCACTAATGTCCATCAGCTTGGGGTAAATGTGACCAAGCGCTAAGCGCGACGCTTCAACCATTTGTTTCACGCACTATTGACCATATAATATTGCGTTTCATGATCAATACATCATAGCAGCCTCATTATTCATTCCGTACTGAGCTAGAGATTTTTGTGAGCTAAATAGTGTTGAACACGTAACTTGGTCCTAAAGTACATCTTGATTAATGCATGTTTGCCCATCCATGTATTCAATGAATGAGGGTATATTCTCTTGAAGTGACTATTATACTTTTTTATTCTCTGCTTCAGTTAAATACCACATCTTGTTATTCAACGTGACTTTAATTGTAACTTTATGAACATAATTTGTATGTTGACTTTATAGTCATAAGACAAATGGTCGTTCACTTACAACCCCATTAACCTGTAAATCCATAGACAGGACAATAAAAATAACAAAGTGGTTATCCTAAAGTTTTGTGGATGGCTTCCCCAGTTTCATTAATATCATGCGCAGTTCAAACTTGAAGTAACATTCACGAAATGTCTTTTGAATTCTTTCTGGATGATTTATTGTTTTCGAAAATTTACTCGGTGTTTTTTTCTGTGTATTTATATTTTTACAGAAAACCGAGTATAGACGTAAATAATATATGGAACGCATTTTGGGATTTTACCATATCCTTAGTTATTTATTATGGTATTTTTCACAAAACGCCTAAAATTTTAACTTCATGTATACCGTATTTGAATATCATTGAGGCTGTATCCTGCAGCCATTATTACATTACTTTTTTGAGAAACCTAAACGTGATTCTTATTGGCACTTGTCACGATAGCTATTCAGAGATACTAAAAATCGAAACATCATTACGGCTATTGTCCCCCTTTGCATTCAAACACTAATGCTCATCACAGATTACGGTACTGCTGTTTTAAAAATGACTCTTTGATCGAATTGAAATTTGTACTGCATTTCTATCTATCTATATCGTCTAACAACTCCCTTGGTTTTATAATGCTGTATGTGCAGATCCTTCATGTTGACACAAGTTAGTTTTTGACTTATCACTTTACAAGATCAGTATCATATATAGGTTGAGAGATAAAATTCCTCTTAGAGGTTATTTATGAATAAGCTGTTGTTGCGGAGTAACGAACAAATCTAGGCTAGGGAAGCGATCATATCACATGCAAATTATGGAGCATGGAAAAACGTGATAATTTCTCTCCTTATCACTGCTAAAACAATTATCAAAGTTTACACCATTAATTCATCTCTGATCTCAGAGGCCATATATCCCACTATTTCCAAGCCAGCCTTCTAATTTTTCGTCACACTTATTTAAGCTTTATATACGTGTTTGTGAAGTCATTATTACGTCTTAAAGCATAGGTATGTAATTCTCAGAAGAGTTTTAAATTTGCAGATGAAAGTACTCAGAAATAGAACAGATTCCTCACTTTGTTATACGAAAACGGTTGTCTATAATAAGACCAAGGTATATATGAGTCAGTATCAATATGCTGCCTGATGAGTAAGTCTCAATGAGACAAAAAATCCTTGCAATTATAATCAGGGTATTTAGGGGGCTTTCGGTATTTTAAATGTGTACTAAGAGTGCCATAACTGTTATTGATTATTGGTCGCTGAACTTTTCGCAACAGCAAGTCAGTTTAGCGAGAAATCTGCTCCACAAGTCAAAATTACAAGTTTCTCTCTCTGCAAACACCTGGATTCCAAACATGTTTAATTTTGAGCTATTGGGTTAATAAGCTTCAAATCATCGGGGGGATCCGACGTCTTTCGAACGACAATTTTTCGGTTCTCTGGAGTTATCTGCTTTGAACGTCTCTAAACCTTTATGTAACAAACAATTACATTCTAATTACTCGGTCATATACTTGGAAAAGTTTCTTTTTGAGTCTACGTAAGTTATTGGTATGGAAATAGCAGGGAAAATCACAAGCTTCAGTCAATGAAATCATTGACTGTCTCTCCAAACTACGTTGATAGTTACAAACTACCTGGTTAGATATAATAGATGACAATACAGAACCGGTTCCAAAGGGCCGTTTGATCTTTAGTTTGGAAATCACCTTATACTTCTTATCCTGTTCACCTATCATTCCTCAAGTTATATTGCTTGTTGCTGATCTTTTTCGCTATAACTGAGACTGCTACTGCCATGGTATTCACCTTCATAAATTCTTACTACGCTCCTGATGTATTTTGGCAACCTGAGCCGACACATGTTTCCGGTTCGAAATCGCTGACAGCCAGTTGTCTTTTCGGATGTGCGAAGGTAAAACAAGAAGCTGAATCATAACTCATCGGAAAATATTTTAAGGACGAAGTAAACTTATATTTGGTCAGGATGTTTTGCAGTCTTCTTGTTGCTCTACTGGCTTTAGTGTACTTACGTATTGTCGGACTAGTTTTTCGTTTTCTAAGATTTCATCTGGCTTTTTGTACTAGAAGAAAGAAAACACATTAGATAAGAGGATTACAAACCGAAATCAGGAGAGTATTGTTAGCATGGGTCAGTGATATGGACTTTTCATTTAAGGGTAAACCCATCCGGGTCATATCCGGAATGTTGAACTTTTTGTAATATCTGAATTGAAAGCAATCGGAACTAAAGATCAAAATGTAGTTCTTACTTTTTGTTGGTGGTCCGCAATAAAATATTCCCATCTTCAACGGAAATTCTGTACACATCTAATGGGTAAGGTAAGTTACGGATACGCCACTGGAATGCACGTGGGACATCGCTACGAATAAACAGTGGCTAATTTTGTTACTGAGGTAATGAAAATATTAAAATACAGCTTGTGGTGACTCCATTAGATGCTCTGAAAACTGGTTTTCCCTCCTAAGTGGTTCTCCAACTTCGTATTCCCATTGTCCGTCCCCGCCAAGTACGGTTTTGCTTCTAAATTTCCTTGCTCATTATGATCATAAGGTGATTTGAAAAAAGCATACTTACCCAGTAGGTTATGAGTAGATAAATCATATTCCTCAACCATTTGTAAACCTTCAGGAAATAAAAAGTGAACCTTACGCTTTCCTAGTAATTTATAACAAGAAAAAGAGCGAGATTTTAAGTTATCGTGGAGATTCTTTAGTTCGGATGGTGGCTCTCAATAAACAAGTATATATGAAGCTTAGTCAATGTAAATGCTCTAGCATCTAATTTTCTAGATAAGTACGTAGATATGTTGAAAAGGTAGTCATAAAAAGCCATGTTTCGTGCTGAGAATTCTATATTGTATCAGATTATAATACTGAATAAAGCCATTAATAATAATAATGTCTTATCATTCTTCCTACAGTTGCCGCTCTTTAATTGTAGTCTAGAAAAAATGAAAGTTTAAGGTACAGCTAGTACGAAGTGGTATCTCAAATGGCCAGGATAATGGCCCTGTTACATTACCAAGCGTAGTTGCCAGGGGATTCACGATGCAGATGATTGTTGCTGCAGTCCAACCATTATTCAAGCAACTAACATAAGAGGGATTTATTTTGGATGTGTTTATATTTAGCGTTTAGCTTTAGGCATATCTGACGATACCTCTCAATTTTTAAGACTGGGAAGACATTAATTTTGTAATATTGAGAGATGAAGGCGTTATTTACTTTCCTTACGACTACTGCTCGTTATACTGCGGTAGAAAATTACTAAGTTGGGTAAACCAGACGAACCGGGTGGTGGCCCATTTTGTAACAAAATAATCCGATACAGTTATGAAAGAAAAATCAGTGTAGAATTCTCAGTATGTGCAAGTGTGACCAACTGGATAAAGATAGTGAACTTGAAGGATTGGAATTCAATTCCACTTGACTTCAGTCCCAAGTTACAATGCGCAATGGATAGTTTTAAGTTATTTTCGAGATCCCTAATGAACGGCATGACTCCAAAGTTTCGTTAAATTAATGACGGCTTACCATCCTCAATAATGACAGTCGCTTTCGCAGATTTGACCTTTTTGATCCATGCGCTGGTATCCATGTTTTGTAATTGCGTCCTTTCGTATTGCTTATCTTCAATATCCTGGTGACTAGTTAAAATTCCTGGGGTTCTTGTCTGACAGTGAAGCATGTTTTATTTTGAAGAAGTGAACGTTTGTTAGAAAGTTTAAGAACACAATGATATGTGAACGTACTACACACTAATATATCCATGAACAATCGACTATAGACGTGTGGAGGAAAATAAATCCCCAAAATAAACAGTTCTGTAAGTCTTTGTCACTGGTGCTGACCTCTTTAGTTTTACTGGGCACATCAAGCTGATGGCACTGGCTCACTCAACCGCACCAGATCACGAGTGTGTATGCCATACCACGCATCCATTTCAACTGTTAGCCAGCTTAAACCAAACGCTTCTCGACATATTGATAGCCTTCAAATATATCTTCGAACTACTTCATTTCTGGCTTCTATTTTGTCTGGGTTGGTATACTTCGATCAAACCAGGCTGGTTTGATTCCTTCCTCAGCAATCGACATCAAATAGTTAAAATGAACTCTTCATTGTCGAATGCCGTCCCCGTTAGAAGTGGGGGTAATTCAGGGTAATGTCTTAGGTCCTTTGCTCTTTTTAGTTTTCATTAATGATATTCGCCAGTGTTTTGGTGTGGGTAAGTCCCTTTTGTTTGCAGACGATCTTAAGGTGGTGTACTCATTTTCTCCACATGAGCTGAGCAATATTCAAAATTATATCAGCTCGGAGCTTAACAATGTAGCACAGTGGTGCTCAAAATGGCAACTGGAGCTTAATACAGCTAAATGTGGTTGGTTATGCTTCGATGATACATCACTCAACCTCGATCTTACCATAAATGGTGAAATGTTATCTAGGTTACACTCAGCAGTAGATCTAGGACTTAGGTACTCCGACGACTTGTCGTTTACTGAACAGATAATGAAACAAACGTCCGAGTCTCAACGCCTTATAGGTTACATAACTCGAAACCTTCACAACAGCGAATCTCGTATATTAATGTACAAAGTCTGTGTTCGACCACTCATCGAATACTGAGCGTTTCTGCTTAGTAGCGAGCGCATAAAGGATAAATTAAGACTGGAATCAGTACAGAGATGATTTACACTCCGTACTCTTGGAACTGATAGTGTGTTGACATATAATTCGAGGTGTAGTAAATGATATGTCTTGTGGGTTGAACGCTTATTCAGATCCTAAGCTACACGGATAACCCCAGGCTAGCACTACTCAGCAACTTGAAGACCAGAGAGAAGACACGAGTAGCAGAGAAAACCTTTACTGCAAGGATCAGTTTTGTACAGAAAATCGTAAGTATTTATAGATGTTTGCTTAAATTAAATCAACATCCTAATTCAGCCAATCCAATAAACGACATATATTGCTACTGACCAATGGTAGCGTGCCACGTTGGAACTCCAGAATGTTCTGTCGTACTCTGATTGGTTGGGACTCTTTTTGAGCCTCTGGGGGCTCTGTTGGAGTTCGCGGGAAGCCGACTTAACACCTCCCCCGAATGAGACTTCTTCCTAGGGTCAACTTGTAGTTTGATAACTGGGTTGCGACGTCGTCCCATTATTCTCGTCGTCTTCCCTGTCCACGGCTTCCTTTCAGTGTTCTTTGGCGTTTGTGGCGTTGGTGCGTCTAAGATTAAATCTAACGGAAAATTCGGCGGGTTACTTCGATTCTGCACCATTCTTTTGTCTTTAAGGATTTGATTTGTGTGTCGTATGCACATCCCAAAAGTTCCTCGAACTCTGTACAGAACTCTTCCCAATTTTTGTACGTCTTCTCCTGGCTCCCATCGGTTCTTCCCGATGTAGGATTTAATGTAAACTTTGTCGCCGACACTGAAGTTCCGAATACTTGGATTGTGACTGCGCTCATCAACTAATTGGGATGGCAACATGGCATTGAAGACGGTTCGAACACGTCTTCCGAACATGACTTCCGCAGGAGACTTGCCGTCCGGAACATTCGGATTCGGAGTGGATCTGTAGGATGTTAAAAATTTCGTGATCACCTTCCCAGTCGGCCCTTCGCCTCCCCCCTTCAGTAATGCTCGTTTAAATGTGTCCACGAAGCGTTCTGCTTGTCCGTTAGATTGTGGATGATAGGGTGGAGAACGAAGATGAGTTATTCCGTTTGCTTTACAGAAATGCTTAAACGATTCTGCGGCGAATTGCGAGCCGTTGTCTGTTACTAAGGTCTCTGGTACTCCAAAACAGCTAAACAGGGTAGACAGCTTGTAGATTGTTTCTGAGGTTGTACAATTTGGCATGGTATATACTTCCGGCCATTTAGTAAATGCATCTACGATAATTAGAAACATTTTTCCTTGGATTGGACCAGCAAAATCTGCATGAATTCTTTCCCAGGGTCCTGCAGGCGTAGGCCAATACTGAGGTTCGCATTTCACAGGATTTTTAGCGGCTTGAATGCATGATGGACAGTTACGGCATTTATTCTCGATATCTTTGTCCATTGACGGCCAATAAACATAACTATGAGCCAACGATTTCATTTTATTTATTCCAGGATGGCCATTGTGAAACTGCTTGAGAACCTTGTGACGTAATAACTTCGGAATAACAATTCGATCACCGAACATAATACACGAGTCAACAACCATTAGTGAGTCCCGTCGACGAAAATATTGCAAAAGTTCTCCGTCAAGGCGATTGTTTGGCCATTTGGACGAGAGATAGCATTTGACTGTGCTCAGTATCTTATCGCATTCAGTGATCTTCTTGATAGTTTCAAAGGTTACTGGGAGTCCATTGATTGCGTCATCCAATACCCGATGAACTTCTTCCTCGGCTTTTATACTTGCTACAAGAGTCTCCTCTGGGGTTTTTGATTTGGAACCTATTAATCTTGACAATGCGTCAACTTGTCCGAAGGCGGTAGTAGACTGATACTTTATCTTGAAGTCGTAACCAAGAAGTGTGGTTGCCCATCGTTGGAGTCGGTTAGCTGTATGAACTGGAATACCTTTCTTTGACCCAAAAACTGCAAGTAGTGGTTTATGGTCTGTTATTAGAGTAAAATGTCGGCCATATATCATCTTATGGAACTTCTTCACTGCAAAGATAATTGATAGGGCCTCTTTTTCAATCTGACTATAGTTCCTTTCGGTCGTTGTCAAAGATCTGGCAGCGTGTGAGATAGCTTTTTCAGACCCATCAGGAAAAATATGAGAGATAACTGCACCCACACCATAGTTAGAAGCATCTGAAGCGACGACTATCGGTAGAGAAGGATCATAGTGTGTCAATAAAAGATTGGAAGTCAGGAGTTGCTTGATTTTCTCGAAAGACGCTTGGCAGTCTGCAGACCAATTCCATCTCGTATTCTTTTGTAATAGGTTGTTTAGTGCAGAACGTAGACGATGGAGATCAGGGAGGAAGGTACCATAATGGCTGACCAACCCCAAGAATGATCGTAGGGTGGTAATGTCCCTGGGTCTAGGCATTGTTTTCACCGCTTCAATGTTCTCTGGATCTGGTCGTCTTCCGTCTTTATCTATTATGAACCCCAGGTACCGTACTTGCTGCATATAGAAGTCACATTTTTCCGCTCGGAGTCGAAAACCATAATCGGCTACGCGTTCTAGTACCTGGTCTAGTTTCTTCTGCAGGTCCATTTTATCTACTGCCATAATTATGATGTCGTCTAAGTAAGCTGCTGCCCCTGGAATACCTTGTAACATGGTATCCATAATTTGCTGAAAAATAGAAGGCGCTGTCTTCACCCCAAAAGGTAGTCGGTTATACCGGAACAGACCTTTGTGTGTGTTGATCGTTAAAAGATCTTTGCTTTCATCAGATACCGGGATTTGAAAATATGCGTCTGATAAGTCCAATTTCGCAAAATATCTGCCACCGTTCAGCTTAGCGAAAAGATCTTCTGGTAAGGGCAACGGATACTGATGTGACTCTAGAGCTTCATTTAATCCTGTGGAGTAGTCTGCACATAGACGGACACTTCCATTCGACTTCTTGACCACCACTATTGGTGCAGCCCAGTTCGAGAAGTTCACAGGCTCGATAACACCCATTTGCTGAAGTCGCTGTAATTCCTGCTCAACTATTGGAAGAGCAGCATAGGGCACAGGTCTTTTAGGTCGAAAAATGGGAGTAGCTGCAGGCTTTAGAGTTAGCACTGCTTTAGCCTTCGTGCACTCGCCTAATCCTTCTTGAAACACGTCTTGGTGTTTTTGTAGCATGGCATTTTTCTGACTCCACTCAGAGGTGTTGTAAGTTGTGATTCGTTTACAGATACTGTTAATAGAGTGGTCTGCTAGGTCAAGTGTTTCTATAAGATCCAACCCCATTAAGTCGAGTGCTGGCTTCTTTTTAAGATACACTGTTGCATTTGTTGTTACAGCATTTTTAGACACAATACAAGGTATCTCTCCAACAATGCTTAACTTTCCACCTGATGCACTGTGTGCTATTTGTGTTGTTCGATGCACCGAGGGTCGCCCAATCTTCTTCCAAGTTTCTGGACTTATCAAAGTAATATCAGAAGCAGTATCAAGCTGAAGTCGAATGCGATGTTTATTAATATTCAAGGTTACGTACTTTCTCTGGCGGCACCTTCGAGCTTTGTTATGTGATACCAATATTCTTTTCCTTAATGCCCCAGACCTGTATTTCTTGAAATAAGATTTTGCAAAATGTCGTTTATAGTTTCTTTTCCTGCAGCTGGTTTCTATATGGCCCTTTCGATGACATTTACTGCAACAATGTTCTTTATACGGGCAAAACCTCCTATAGTGCCAGCCTCCACATGCCCAGCATGGAGATGATGGTTTGTCACCGTTATTACGATAATTAGGTGTGCTGGAACCTTGCAAGGATTTTCTCTTGACTGCATTGACATTATGGGGACAGTTACCGTTTTCTACCATTGAAGTATCATGCTTCAAGTTCACTAACCTTTGGCACTCGGTAGTTACTTCCTGTAGGGTCATGTTAGGACAGTGTTCAAGTTTACTTAGGATTCTGGTCCGGATATCAGCATCATCAGGAGAACGCAGGCTGCAGATAAATACTAAACATTTAAACTGGTCCTCAGACATGGACGATAATTTGAACCTCTCGCATTCACGGTTCACAGTTCCTGCATGTTTCACCCAATCATCTCCAGATTCTTTCGTTAACTTTAAACACTGATAACGGATATTAAATAAAGATGATTGTTCTCCGAAAATTTGGGACAGGGTTTTGACTGTTTCATCAAAACTAAAATCTCGTGGGTTCTTCGGGAGAATGAAGTTGCTGTAGCGTTCATGTTCCACAGTCCCCAGTTTTCTGAGAAGTATTCTGACTTTCGAAGCATCATTCAGGTTTCAAAGATCAATATAAAACAAAT